GAGACTTGTAATCCCTCTTTTGGGGATGTTCGGATCATGAGGAGAACCCAAGGAAGTTGAGCCTTCCAGTCTGGCCCAGTACAATGCACCATTAATTGTGCTCTCAGAGTGTGATGGAACCCCTCCACCATGCCATTGGCTTCTGGGTTGTACGAGGTGGTGTCATGGGTAGTTGATCCCGTCAATTCTCCTAAAGACGTCCACAGTTGAGATGTGAAAGCAGGTCTTCAGTCGGAGATAATGGCATCTGGAACGCCAAAATGAAGGATCCATCTGTGCAGTAGAGCTTCTGTACAGTCTCGGGCAGTGGTGTGCTGCATGGGAATTGTCTCCAGCCAGCGCGTGGGAATGCTCTGTGGTGGTGAAGATATACTGAGCACCATCTGAAGATGGAAGGGATCCTACCACGTTAATGTGGAGGTGTCCAAAACATTGCATAGGCTGGTGGAATTCTCCCGTGCTAGATGCAGCATGACAACTTATTTTGCTCTTCTGGCAGTCAATACAGCATTGAGCCCAAGGAATTCCATGGATGTGGCCCCAAATTGGCACTTGCCCTGACACACCACAAGGCCGTTATCATGGAGTTGTTTTACCATGACCCGGAGATGTTGGAGATCTTTGTTCTGGTCTTCAGTAAAGATAAGGAAGTCATCTACATGGCAAGCAATGAAGAGAAGGTCACGGGGATGCCTTCCATCAGACGTTGAAAGGTAGCCTCTGAATCTGGAGGCTGAATGTGGAGAAGTTAACCCAGTAACGACGGGTGTCCACATACGAGACACCCAAAAAAATAAACATTGCCGGGTGTCCCACCAATGTGACGCTGTATAGGGGCTCATGCTCCAATGCAGCAGCAGGCCGCAGCCGCCCAGAAACTTTTATTTTCGGCTTCAAAGTATACTGGTGGTAATGGTGTAAGTCCTGAAGGGTGAAATGCCGTCTTGGGTATATCTTCTGGGTAGACTGGTACTTGAAAGTAGCCCTTCAGGAGGTCAAGCTTGGAGAAAACCTTGGCTTCTTCCTAACATGGCAAATGACCATGTTGGGAAGGCTATAGTGGTCTGGTTCTTTGACCAGGTTAAGACACCTATAGTCTTGATGCCTTCTGAGAGATGCCCATTCGTTCCATTTCAGAGTAAGCTTGTTGTGCTGCTTAAAGCTTTTCTGGGGATAAGCACCTAAACTTGGAGTATACCGATGGGGCCTCTCATATTGATGTACTGAAATATTTCATGTTTGGCTGGCTGGCCAGGCTGCTAATGGAGTTCTGGCTGGAAAATGTCTAGGATATCATTGCAAAGGATTTTGTAAGGGGCATCTGTCCTAACAGTGCAGTTTTCTGTGTACAGGTGGTGCAAACCAAGGGGTGTGGAGTGGAAGGTTGTCATGTCCAATAGTCTACAGTTGGCAACATCAACGAGTAGTCCAGGGTGACCTAGGAAGGCTGCTCCCAGGAGAGTTGTTTTAACGTCAGCAAGGATGACGTCCCCATCTGGCTGTTAGATAGGGATAGTTTGGGTACTGTACATTGGAACAGTGCTTTCATTGGCTGCAATGAGTTTGATATGTGATGGTTGTAGCCACGAGTGAGTTTTGTCTTCGACAGTGTCTGGGAATAGAGAACAGAAGACACCTGTATCCACAAGAAACCTATGACTGGATAAGGAGTCTGTAATAAATGTGCCATTGCTTATGAGGTTGTTCATGGGACTGTCATTGGCTTTGTACAGGGCAGATCTCAAGTAGGGGGGAAGGCACTGCAGCCAAAGTTCCCACAATAAGTCCATACACCATGGTTTGTTGGTAGTAGGGTCAAGGTAACTCTTCAGGTTTTTGTAGCCGACATCCTGGGTTTGGTCCTGGTTGTCCAGCCATGCAGCAGTGTGAAGAAACAACTGCTCAGGGAATGCCTCCTGCACATAATGTGCCATGGTGAGGGGGTCTGTGTCTCTTCTCAGGCACACCGGAACCAAGATGTAGCTTCTTGTGGGTGAAAGGGGGACAGCTTCACTGCTACGACGGAGGATAGAAAGAGGGTCGACGTGTTCCTTTGTCTCCCAAGAAGTCATCTCAAGTGGCATGATCGAGTTACTTTTCTGAAGAGATGTCATAGTTCCCCATAGATATTTAAACAACTTTAAAGCAAAGTCCATTCTTATAAGACCCTAGAAATCTAAGACTTCTACTGTTGAAAAATGAAACTGACGAAAAAGATGTCGGAAATACAGATTTGGTAAAGAAAACACCAAATTATTATCCCAGCATTTTTTTTTTTTTTTCCATTATGAAAATGGAGAAAGGGAATGCTGTCAGTATTATTGCATCATTCTGTTTTTCTTCTCTTTTCAATATTTCTGTGGTATGTTATAACATACTTTTGAAAAAGTCATATTCTTCCTATTAATATTGAAAAGAAAAATACTGAACACTATGCACATTAAATTTTGGATTTTGCGGATTTTCATATGTATTGCATGTTAAAAGCTGTTTGACTTATTGCAAATTCATAACAAAGTATCAGGGAATATATATGTTGAATGAAATTTAAGATGTAGCATGGTCCTCCTACTACTGAGAAAAGATCATAATCATCTAAGCATGGTAAATTACGGAGCCACTTCAGATTTTGGATCTTGCAAATTTTTATTTTTATTGCCTGTCAGAAAGTGAATTATTTCAAGTTTAAAGTAAACAGAAGGAAAGTGTACATCAAAAATAGGATGCAGCTTACATAATTGAAGGATTCAGCAAGCTTGGAACAAAACCAGCATCACAGTTTAAGTTTAAGGAAATTAGGAAAAGGCTAACTATGCATTATATGAGTCCTCCGAAAAGGTACACAAACACAGGGCAGTTCACTCTTATGCACATCTTCATAAAGTTTTATTTTCAGTTTACAGATTTCTTCTTAATACCCTCACACAAACATCAAGTAAATCACTGTAAGAGTACAAGATTTTTTGAGTCAGTACAATGAAATTTTTTTCAATTGATTGAGAAAAACAAAAGGACTAAAGAGATGGCACCCAACACAATCTTCCTCAGGTCTTCTTCCACGTCATCCATGGGGTATAATGCACCAGAGAGGTCCCTGTCCACACAGTCCTCCCAGAGTGATTATTCCCCTGTGGTGAATCCTACTGACAGCCCACTCCTAAGGTGGGCACCAGGCAGAGCCAGATTTATGGTGGACAATGTCAATTCGTCAAGAGTTGCTTACCTGATGTGGCACATATATGTATATATATATATATATATATATATATATATATATATATATATATATATATATATATATATATATATATATATATATATATATATATATATATATATATATTTATTTATTTATTTATTTATGTATCTATATGTATATACATATATGTATGATATACACACATATGTATTATATTTTATGGCTTCTGCTGTCATTCATTTTATCATGTTCAATTGTTATTTCATTTCTTTCTAATGCCTCTATTGCTTTACTGTTATATTTGATACACATGCTATGTATCAGATATGTTTGCATTTTGATGTTGATATTTTCTCTAAATTGTATTTATTTTTGGCTTCCAATACCTCCATCTTGCTTTTGATTATTAATTCCTTCTTAATTGAATAAATTATTTTCAAATAACCCATTTACTGCTATATATCAAAAGTTAATGCTGCCCTCCACAAACCAAACTTTCTCGCAACATTTTCATACTGATTGTTCCAATGCAATGCTAACCTGGCTCATTTACAAAGCAGACCAAAGAGTACTTTCATTCCTTTAACTCAAAAGCAAGAAAGGATTCTTTTTAATGTATAAGCTCATATTGCTCCCACAGATTTCTGAAATTCCTTTTTGAAGATAGTATGTATCACACATTATTTTTTTCCCAGCATTGTAAGTTTACCAAGATCAGTAGTATTATAGGGTTAAGCATAATGGCTGGGAAGGTTTTTGCAGATATCAACTATGAAAAGTGAAATAGGATGCTAAATAGATCAAGGGAATCGAGACTAAAGCGTGTTAAAAGTTTTTGTTGCCAAAAAGAAATTGAATGAAAAGAATGTAATTGCACAGGCCTAATATACAGTGAATTGATACAGGAAGGTGGAGAAAGAAATATTTTTTGGAAAGCTTTAAGTTATTCACAAAGAGACATTCAAATGTTTAGCCCTGATTGCAGACTTAGGATCCCACAAAAGTAGGCTGAAGTCTAATTTTGGCCTCTCTCCCTAAAACCATAAGTATTATGTAGCCAAAAGCATATAGAGTAGGATTAGTGTATGTGGTATGGCTTGGTATGGCAGATGGAATTCCCGTCATGAAGGGGTTAAGGCAGAGGGGAAAGATTTTATAGTCTGCATCATCCCTTTTCAAAATCTGTAATTTTATCGTATAAGATAGTTGTTTTCCCCAGTTATGTTTTTATTAATAGTTTTTACTACTACACTATTACCCTTCAAATTCACAAAATATCACAGAGTATATATATTACCCATTAACTGTAAGCTTGTAGTAGGTCAGTGTTTTAAACAATTCTTTCAAATGTTCATGTTGATTTTTTTTTTTACTAAGTGTCCTGTTAGTGTCTGTGTGTAAATAACTAGATTTTTGCATGAATTCATATGTAAGAGCTAATAGTGCTAGATTTATTTTTCATCAGTACTTGAAATTGTTTACTACTTGGCTCAGTTATGAATATTTTTATATTTTTCCTATGCTTCTTTATCCAAAATTATAGTTTATGATTTTACAAACACAGTGAAGCCCTTTGCATGGTTGACTAGGAAACTGAAGTCCATTCCATGAATTTGCTTGTACTAGAATACATATTCATTAAGCAGTACATATTACACCATGTATGTATTTATATTATACATTTATTTCATTAAAGGAGAAATCTACTAAGACGTAGTCAACACAGTATAGAAAGAGCATCTGATCAAAGTGATGGAAAGAGCCCACCAATTGTAGGTAAGATCATCTTACACCTTATTTTCACATGTTTTATGGTTTTGAATATTGTAGTATCTTGGAAGTCTAAAGGCCCAGATTTTCTTCTTTTCTGGACATTAGTGACAATTCTCTTTATTTGATTCATCCCTCTTGGTAATTCACTATGAGGTCTGTTTTATTTCTTCTTCTGTACCTTTGTACTATCATTGATTGACCTTATCAATCTTGTAAGGTGGGCTGTCTCATTATCAATAATTAGGTAATCTCTATAACTACAGTTTGTATGGTAAATACAGCTTAGATGTTGAGGTGTTGAAGATTGCACGGAGATGATTAGCTTCATTGAATGGTAATAATACAGAATGACTGGTGATTAGAGGGTCAAGTGAAAGGTGAAAAATAGAAGAAAAGTAGGATAGATGATAAGAAAAGTTCTAGCAGATCCATTCCTAGACTGGAAAATTAATAAGTTTGTTTCTCAAATGCCCTCCAAACAGAAAAGCCAATAGAGCGTGTTCGTAGAAAGATCACAGAAATGGATATCGAATTGGATGAGGGTCTACGGGAGGACCAGGTTATTGGAAGGGTCTCTGATACGCAGCGTGACAAGATCCACTTCAAACCTCGTAGCGTCAGCTTTTCATGGCAAAGAGGTTTCAAGATTGGTAAGTATATGCATATTTTTTGTATTTATTAGATGTCAGTCACATGATATACAGCAGTACAGCATATCTATATATATATATAGTATATATATATATATATATATATATATTATATATATATATCATATCATACATAATATATATATATATATATATATATATATATATATATATATATATATATATATATATATATATATACATATATACATACATACATACATATATATATATATATATATATATATATATATATATATATATATATATATATATATATGTATATATATATATGTATATATATATATATATATATATATATATATATATATATATATATATACATACATACATACATACATACATACATACATACATACATACATACATACATACATACATACACATATACACACACACACACACCACACATATACACATACATACACACATACACATACACATACACATACATACCACACACACACACACACACATACATACATACATATATATATATATATATATATATATATATATATATATATATATGTATATTATATATATATATATATATATATATATATATATATATATATATATATATATACATATTTAAACTGTATATATATGTATGTGTATGTGTATGAGTGTGTATGTGTATGTGTATATATATATGTATGTATGTATATATATATATATATATATATATATATATATATATATATATATATATATATATATATATATATTTGTATTTGTATTGTATTCATTGGTTTTTGATTTAATATATCAGATTATTATAAGTATACTTTTGTCGCATTTTCAATAGAAACTCTTTTAAAAAAGGTGTAAACAGAAATGTTAAGACTTATTTTATTTTTTATTTAAAGGCATTACATTATATTGCCACAAAAGTATGCTAATATGTAAGTTGGCCAACATCTATTTTACATTAGTCTTAAATTTGTGAGTAATAAGGTAAAGCACCTTTCACCATGGAATGAGGGAAAGAAATCCAGTATTTTATTTTCAAGAAGAGAACCGTTCAGGAAGAGGCCCGTGAGAGGAGTTCAGGCATAGTATATCGTCCAGAATGCTCCGATTTGTTCCTCGAGTTTGTCCACTGAGGAAGTTTTCTTCCTTGCTGATCACATAAGAAGTCTATGAAGATCAGCAGTGGAGGGGCAATCTCCTTGAAGTCGAAGTGGTCATGCAACCCTGTGGATCGGCGACCTCAGTAGAAGTGGAGAGCGTGGAGGAAGATTCTTAACCGTCGTAGATGGCATAGGGGTCGTATCCATTGTAGGTGGCGTAAGGGTCGTAGGGCTCGGGGTCGGAGTGGATCTCGTCGTCCTCCGCTGGGGTAGGTTCCTCGGGCCTGCAAGGAGGAAAAAGAAGTGCGCCTGATTTTCCTTCGGCCTAACCTTTCAATCCAGAATGTAAACACCCGCACCCGTATCCGTACCCCCCTTCCACACACACGCACGATCGGCTCCCAAGAAGGCCTCAAGTATTACCGGGCAGTGGTGGTGGAGCTCTTAATTTCGTCGATGTCCTTGAAGACCGGGCGGCCCACGCTACCCCCCCGGCGGACCATCATGCGGGAGCGCCACAGGGAGTAGCGGGGCCCACGGAAGTCGTACCAGTAGAGGCCGGAGTACTCGTGGTCGGAGGGGACCGGCCCGTGCAGGTAGCGGCCGTTGAGGTTGCTGTTGGAGAATGTTGGCGTGGATAATTGTCTGGAGGGAGAATGCGGGTTGGGGTGAATTTCCTCACCGCAAGAACTGTAGAGCTTTGATATATTTTATGAGGTATGCCGAGCAGTACTTTCATACAAAAGAGAATTAGAAACAGGATGATGGAGAGTAAAGGCATAGTACTTCTAATAACTCTTGCGAAAGTCTTTGAGAAAGATTCATTAACAAGACCTTTACACAAGACATGAAAGTGGCTAGTGGGTAATTTATATATATGAACTGTATAGTGAGAAGGTAGGTAGGTTTCGCAAGCGGGCGTGGCGGAAGCGCTTAGTGGGATGCGAGTCGGAGGCGGAAAATCACCTTGTGTCACAGGCCCTGTACCACCAGGCGCCCATGTGGTCTCGGGCGCAGTTCCGCTCGGGCCAGGCGTCGTTGTCCACGTCGATGGTGCTGAAGCGCCGGCCCACGTGGTAGCGCAGAGAGTCGCCTAGGGAGGTTTACAGGAAGCCAGTTATCCCGGAAGGAAGTACTTGTATAATTACTCATGTCTAAAGACAGAATTATGCTGCGCTTACCTGCGTCTCCCCTGTACTCGCCCAGCATTTTGAGCGAGTAACCTTCCAGCTCAGACCCTACAGCGAACGCAGAATACACTGCAAAACCGCTTTGCTGGTCGAAATCAGACAGGTCAATCCTAAGCTTCGAAACCTGCAATACAATACTTTATTCACTAAATCATCGACGTGTTAAAATACTGCATATTCAGTGGAATATCATAAATCTTGTCTGATAAAAAACAATGATAGTTGTTAAAGACAAAGACGAGAAGGCCTATTTTCACTTGCGTGCTGGCTCGTGAGGAGGTAGATCTTCTCGTTCCCCAGCCAGAACTCGCCCGCCAGGTTGCCGAAGCCGTGTTTGTACTCATTCCACTCGCGGAGGAAGTCCACCGTGCCGTCCTCACGCCTCTGAATCACCTGCGGTCGGGTCAGAAGGGGGCAACGTAGGTCAAGATTTATTCATGTTTGTTTTGGAGGGTTATGGCAGAATTTCGGTCACTGTGTATAGTTAAAACACCTCTGGTTTTATTAGTGTTTTAAATGTGGCTCTGATATTGCATTATATAATGGAGTGCGGGCATTCGATGCGTTTGGAGAGGCGGTTGCGTCCTATGATTATCGAAACCTTTATGTAATCGTTACGTTTATTCCAAATAGCATCACTTCCAGACACAGTGATAATGTGATAATACATATAACAGTATGGTGTCGGGAAAAGTCCAACTCAAATACTTTTTTACGGTCACCATGGATGCTTTGAAACGAGCATGATGCAATGGTGCAAATCGAACAAGGGAAAACCCCACAGATCCTGCCCGGAATACCCACCGTCCAGCCGCCTCCCTCAGTCTCCATGTCGCAGTAGACGAAGAACGGAACGCTGGAGTACTGCGGCTGGATGCGGTAGACGCCCGACTTCTTCTTGCCTTGGCGGAGAAGCTGCCAGCAGTCCTCGGGCTCTGCAACATGCACATTGCGCTCCTCAGGCTTTCGTTTTGACGCGGAAAGAGAGAGGGAGGGAGACAGAGAGACAGAAAGAGAAGGGGGTACACGACAAAGGATGAGAAAGAGAGAGGGAGGGAGGGGAAGTGGAGAGGAAAGAGAGAGAGAGGAGGGAGGGGAGAAAGGTGACAGAGAGAGAGAGAGAGAGGAGGGGGGGGGGCACGCAGAGTATTCTACATTAATGTACCAAATCGATGTGGAACATATAGATGTATGTGTGTCTGTATGTATGTGTGAGTGTGTGTCTCTATGTGTGTATGTTCAACACCATCAGCCTCTGTATCCACAAATTTAATGAATAAAGAATTCAAGGATAGCTCAAGTAAGTCCTTGCAATGGATATAAGCGCACATTAATTGAATTTAATGTTTCTATATGTATTATGTACAGAGAGAGAGAGAGATGGAGGCGTGAAATGCCGGCGCCAAATAGAAATCTCAGCGAAACAAAGCAAAACGCGACAGCGAAAATATAGTTCCAGTCTCATTTCAGCTGTGCTTCAGGTACTCTAATCGTGGAGTATCGCCTGTTTCCTGTTTAGGCCTTGGTAGAAAATCCACAATGCAAAATAGAGGTTTATTGAAAATGCAACCACACTTTCGAAATCCTCATAGATTTCAGTTTCAGGTGAGACCCGAAGATGAAATTCAGGAAACTTAATTTTGATAGATCTCTCTTGCGCATTGTGTTTTTTTTTTTCTACCATAGTAGCAACACGGTAGAAAGTTTTACCATTCATCTTTAGACCATTGTTTCCTACATGGTATCACCTTATTTAGGAAAAGAGACCTTACATACCCTTTTCAACTTTGCCGCCTGTCCTCCCCCGCGTGCCCATCATCCGGGGCATAACGGACACCGTGGGCACCGTCTGGCTCGACTTGAGCTCGTTGAGGCTCTGGAGAAGGTACTGCTTGGACACCATGTTGCTCCGGATGTAGCCGAGCGTTCTGGGGGCACAAAGGGGCGCTCTGTGGGTGCTGCTGGCGAGGGGGGGGGGGGCGCAGCCTTGGTATATTGTGTGTGTGTGTGTGTGTTTTGTTGTTTTGTTGTTTTGATTTTAATGGGGACCATGATCATCCATAATTTAACAATAAGATATGTTATATTACGGCTATGTAGCTATGTGAAATAATACCAGGTTACTGAAATATGATTTTCTCATTATATCTCAAATCTCATTAGTAGGCAAGAATATGCATCCTATACCACCATCCCCCCCACACACGCACACATACACACACACGCACAACACACACACACACACGCACACACACACACACACACACACACACACACACACACACACACACCACACACCACAACCACACACACCACACACACACACACACACACACACACACACACACACACACACACACACACACACACACACACACACACACACACACACACACACACACACACACACACACACACGCACATCACACACGCACACACACACACACACACACACACACACACACACACACACGTACACACACACACATGTACACACACACACACACACACACATACACACACACACACACACACACACACACACACACACACACACACACACACTTACACACGCACGGACACACACACGCACACACACAAATTAAAGATGCAGACAAACAAACACTCAAACAGGCGCCCAATGCAACCAACCCTGTGGTGTTCATGAGCTGCGTCAGGTTGAGTCCGAGGTCGCCGAGCTCCTGCTGGATGGCCTGGGCGACCGAGTGCACGCTGAACACGGAGGCCGCCACCGCCTGCAGCTTCTGCCCGTTGTTCTCCTCCGGATCTGCTGCGCTTGTCCAAAGGGGAATTGGTGTTAAATGCCTTCAGGGATCGCTTATTCGGTGACAGAAATGTTTGGCGAAACATCAACATGGGGATGGAATTAGAAGAAATTTCAGCTTAGGAAGATGTGTCTCATGTGCTGAATGTGTCACTTGCGAAATGTTGAAAGACTCGAGCGTGGTCAGGATGGCTGGCGGAAGCAACTGACCTGTCCGGGGGAGGTCAGCGATGAGGCCTCGGAGGTCGACGTGGCGTTGGATGAGGGCAGTGATGCTGTCCTTGACGTTGTCCATGAGGCCGGTGATGCGGTCCATCTCGCTGTCGGTGGTCTCCATCCGGTGCTGGATGGCGTTGCTGATTTCGCTGAGCACGCCCTTCCGCTCCTCCGCCAGCAGCTCCATGCGGGTTAGTCTGTCGCGGGCGGGAAAGGGGGAGTTAGACGCGGCCTCGGCTTCGGGAAAGAAGGTGGATCACCAACACGTTCCCATTTGGTTGAGCTACTTGCTGTTTGTTAACCCTACGGATTCTGTAGACGCCCACCTGCCTTTTTCCTAGGGGAAGACCGCGCGCGCTCTCACCTGCCGGCTTCCTCTCTTAATGCAATACATTGTAAGACCTTAGAATCTCACCTGTAGTTGATGTTGTCAATCCGCTCTGCTCGCTGGCCTTGGAGGGTCTCGAAGGCGGCTTGCCTGTCACTGAGGCGCTGCAGAAGGAGGATGATGGTGTCCATCTGGCGCCGGGAGATCTCGGCGTCAGATATGTCTCCCCCGCCGAATCCTCCGCCACAAAAACCCCCAACAGGGCCGTATCCTCCCCCACCGAACCCCCCGACAGAGCCATATCCCCCGCCGCCTCCTACACCGCCTCTTACGCCGCCTCCTGTGTCGCCTCCTGCGGCGCCTTCGAAGACCCTTTCTTCTCCGGCAGCACCGCCAGTCTCTCGCTCTCCTTCACCCTCCCTTCTGTCACTTCCTCCTCGGTCGCCTCCTCCCAGTCACCCCTCCTCGTCGCCTCTCCCCAGTTACCCCTCCTCGGTCGGCCGGTCCTCCCCAGTTACCCCTCCTCGGTCGCCTCCTGCCCAGTCACCCCCTCCTCGTCGCCTCCTCTCTACCCCTCCTCTGTCTCTGTCGCCTCTGCCACCACCTCTCCCTCCGCCTCTTCCACCTCCTCGTCCTCCGCCTCCTCCTCCTCCTCCTCCTCCTCCGCCTCCGCCTCCTCCTCTTCTCTCGTCTACGGCGGGAGTCTCGCTTTCACTCAGCTGAAACCATTGTTCAGAAAAGAGAACGATTAGACTGCATCCGAACACATCAGGCGCCTCGGTAATATGGACAAGGGCGAACAAAATAAAGCACTGACGTCTGACTCACCTCGTTTCTCCTGACGGTGTCGACGAAGAAGGCTTCGTCCGGGATGGCCTCCTCCATGCCTTCTGGCCCCACGACCTCCTGCCCCCGGGAGAATGGGGTGGGATGAGAAATAACGTCGAATACAATCAGAGAATTGTGCGTTCAAGATTGATTTTTTGATTACCTGTTGTGTGTGTGTTTGCTCTGTGTTGAAACGCTTGAACGAAAAGGCCGATCTTGTGTGGTGTAGTAAAATCACTATAAAGGTTTGTTTCCTTGATTTAATACTAATAATTTTAGCCGGATTTCTCGGTGAACAAAAAAACTGAAATTGGGAATTACTTTGTGTGTGTGTGTGTGAGAGAGAGAGAGAGAGAGAGAGAGAGAGAGAGAGAGAGAGAGAGAGAGAGAGAGAGAGAGAGAGAGAGAGAGAGAGAGAGAAGCAACATTTCAGTGTCTCAAGCATAGAGCCTAAGCGTAGCTCATCTTGCTTTCTTTTGTGTGTGAGTTGTCTGAACATGTCGCTTGAAGGTTTTTGTCGTGTCTGTTCAAGTGGTTGTTCGGCCGCCTCATTTTTGCTTCTGAACTTGACCTTCGGCGCGTTTAGAGTGAGGGCCCTCAATCTCACGCTTTCAATGTCAGTGTTATTATCCGTATATTGAGTGTGTATGTGCTCATGTGTTTAGTGTGGCTCACCGGAGGAGGTCTGATGAGTGGGCGTGTGTCCCTGCCCTGGCCGCCCACGAGCCCAGCTAGCATGAGCAATACCGCCCAGGCCGCCCACGCTCCCATGGCGAGTGATTCACACTGATGCCACGAAGTTCACGATTCCGTCTGGGTTGCCTGGTGCCACCACGGCTCTCGCGCTCACGTCCTGGCACCCTCTGTCCCCGAGTGCTGCCTTGCGTCGCCTTTACCTGCCGGAGAAAGCAGCCGTGAGCTCCGCGAAGGCTGGTCACATCATCACAGAGGAACCAAAGGCTCGGGGGAAAGTGCCAAAAATTACGCAACTACACAGCTCAAAATTTCCCGCTCACACTTGAACAAACGATCGTCAGGTTCACAGGAAAAAGTTTTCAGAGCATTCACAAAAAAAAAAAAAAAAAAAAAAAAAAAAAAAAAACAATTGAATGGTCGGTTATAAACCCATGTAGTTACCGCTTGTAAATAACACATCACCTCTGTGTTCATGCTTGACTGAATTACTTAAAATCGTCGAGTAGAAGATTATTCGAAAACTGAGTATACAATGAAAAATCCACTTTCCGCAAAGAATTCAGCCTTCTGATTCTGTTCAACCAAGGCCTATTACACTTAAGGTACGAATCGCAACAGGGCGTCCGAGCGAGAGATCCGTACATGGCTGGCGACGGGTGTCCACAGCACGACGCGCGGTGAAGGTGTGGGCCCAGGAGCGGACGCTGGGGCCTGCGTGTGCGTGTGTTTGTGTGTGTGGCTGCTTCGGAGAGGACACTAGAGTGGCAGAGACAGAGGACGAGGGGAGTGCCAGCCTTGTCCTTCCCCCACTCCCGGTTCTCTTCCCCCTCCCTCTGCCCCACCTCTCCCCCTTCTTGGTGACCCTCCCCATCCCACTCTCATTACTTGTAGTTGGTGTCAGCCACCCTCACCCCCTCACCCCAAGCCAGTCGTCACCATCCTACTGCTCCCTCTCCCTCTCCCCTCCTCCCCTGCCCATGTCGTTCACATCCTTCCTCTGCCGTCTTCCACGCTAGATGTAATTCCGTAATCCCATACACGGAATAAATATTTACATCTCGAGATTTATCTCGTGCCTGCTTCTGCTGCGACCCACCGAAAAGGTAGTCTTGCTTTTCATTTCCCTTATGCTTTTGTTTCTTTTCCATTGTTTTTGTTTTCCTATCGCCGGGGACTTCCTGCAGGTGAGACGGAGGAAGGTCCTGAAGGGGCGTGGCTTGCGTGAGAGTGTGTTTGTGGAGGGGACCGCCTGGTGAACTCATCAGGCCAGGGAGGAACTCCTTACCCCGTCCCCTTCCCTCCCCTAGGCAACCCTCTTTCTCTTGCTGACTTTTTTTTCTCTTTTTCTTTCTCGTTCTCTCTCTCTCCTCTCCCTCCCCCTCCTCCCCTCTCCTCTCTCTCCTCTCTCTCTCTCTCTCTCTCTCTCTCTCTCTCTCTCTCTCTCTCCTATCTCTCTCTCTCTCTCTCTCTCTCTCTCTCTCTCTCTCTCTCTCTCTCTCTCTCTCTCTCTCACTCTCATCTCTCTCTCTCTTCTCTCTCTCTCTCTCTCTCTCTCTCTCTCTCTCTCTCTCCTCTCTCTCCTCTCTCTCTCTCTCTTCTCTCTCTCTCCTCTCTCCTCTCTCTCTTCCCTCTCTCTCTCTCTCTCTCTCTCTCTCCTCTCTCTCTCTCTTCTCTCTCTCTCTCTCTCTCTTCTCTCTCTCTCTCTCTCTCTCTCTCCCCTCTTCTCTCTCTCTCTCTCTCTCTTCTTCCTCTCTCTCTCTCTCTCTCTCTCTCTCTCTCTCTCTCTCTCTCTCTCTCTCTCTCTCTCTCTCTCTCTCTCATCTCTCTCTCTTCTCTCTCTCTCTCTCTCTCCTCTCTCTCTCATCTCCTCTCTCCTCTCTCTCTCTCTCAAACTCTCTTTCTCTTCTCACTCTCTCTCCTCTCTCTCACCCTCTCTCTCTCTCTCTCTCTCTCTCTCTCTCTCTCCTCTCTCTCTCTCTCCTTCTCTCTCCTCTCTCTCTCTCTCTCTCTTCTCTCTCCTCCTCTCCTCCTCTCCCTCTCATCTCCTCGTCTCTCTCTCTCTTCTCTCTCTCTCTCTCTCTCTCTTCTCACCCTCTCTCTCTCTCTCTCTCTCTCTCTCTCGTCTCTCTCTCTCTCTCTCTCTCTCTCTCTCTCTCTCTCTCATCGCTCTCGCTCTCCTCTCTCTCTCTCTCTCTGCTCTCTTTCTCTCTCTCTCTCGTCGCTCTCTCTCTCTTTCTC